ACTCACACTAGTGAAATACACAAACCAATACTCTCTATTCAGACCATCTTGGTATCATATTATTTAATTGTAAACTGTATAAATGGGAAATGACAGTAAGTTTCTGTACAGCAGGTAAAACACTGAGCTGAAGAGGAAATGAACTTTCCATTTTAAAAACCAGAAGTGATCAGTGGTGGTTTTCCTGTCGCTCTGTGAACTGTGTGAGTCGAGTGTCTCGATGCTCTCTTCTCTCTTGGTGATGGTGAAATGGCTCTGTTCATCCTCCTCTCCTTCTGTCTGATTCTGGAAGTTCATCCTCAAAGTGAGTCACTGACCAGTTTGTGGATTTGATCTATTATTTTTTATTTTTTATTTTTTTGTGAGGAAACCAAAAATTGCACACTACAAAAAGTCTCTGTGTTGTGGACAAATTAACATCTTATGACGTGTCAGTGACAATCAGATGTTTGTGATGAACTATAGATTATTGTAAAGCTGCTTGTTCTTTCAGGTAGAAATGAGTTGTTGTATCCAGTGTGTATCCAGTGTGAATTGTTTGATGGTCTGTGTGTTGCAGATGTCTCTCAGCCCCAGCTGGTGGTCTCTTCTACAGAGAGAGGTTCAGTACAGCTGGACTGTAAGACTCTGTATGCTGGAGTGTCTCAGTGTTTTTTCTATCCAGAGAGAAACGAGACAAATGTAAAACACTCACCATCCTGTCAGCTCTCACTCACTGACTCTGAACTGACCAGGTGGACAGGACGCAGTTACAGTCCACCTGAACCAGTCAACATTACTTGTTACTACACTGTGAGTGAATCAGGAGTTTCTGAATCTCCTCTCTCTCTACCAGCTACAGTCACAGTCCTGGGTGAGATACTATTTGGGTTTTGTTCATGAGTGTCACTGTTTGCTTGAATCAAACCATTTCTACCAAACTGAATGGCTTCAAATTAAAGACTTTGATGGTTTTTCACTTAAGAGTTGTCTTTAATGGTGGTGTTTATTTCTCTGCAGATAAGAAACCAGAAATCAGTGTCCGTTATGACAGTCAGTATGATGTTGTCACAGCTGTGTGTGAAATACCGCTGTCAGGGTCAGTAAGAGCTGATTTTAGATGTAATCTCTACACTGGACACCTGCTGTACCTAAAGACAGATTCTAGAAGAGGGAACTCTGGGAAGTGGAGCTGCCTTTTTACATCATCTAAAACTGATCTGTTGAATCGTCTGCAGTCAGCAAAGAGCAGAGAAGTGAGCTGTGATTATTCACTAAACTCTGACCCGTCCGTCCGCTCTCCAATGAGTGACACATGTGATACATTAAGTAAGTTGTACATAATAATATAATAAAAAAATATACATTATACATAAATGGATTTTATAGATGTATCTTCTATGACTGTTCATGTTCTTCTTTGTTAGATTTGTTCCCTACACCAGCACAGCTGTCCATAACCGAAGAGAAATCTACTGCAGGTCAGGACTGTCTCTCTCACTGTAGGACTCAGTTAGAATATCAGAGCTGCTCTTTATGATCTACTGTCTGATTCTCTCTACAGCTTCATTAGTTTCCTCTGCACGTCTGATCACCACAACAGACCCAACAACTGGTGAGCTTTCTTGCATTATTATTCCACCTACAAACACTCCAACCATAGGAAATGCTTTAACACTTAATTCCTTCTTAACTTTGCAGTGTGTCTCTGTTTAAGATGTTTGTGTGTTGTTTTGTCTGTCACCTTTAACAGGGTACAACATATTTTATGACCAAAATGTTCACTATAGCCTGTGAGTTATTGCTTCAGATTTTGTTATACTACAAAGAAATCACAAGATAAATATTATGCAAGCATCCAGCCTTATTCAGCATAAACAGCCAAAGTTGAGAAATAAAGATCCTATGCACATCTTTGTGCATCTTAAATTATTAGCCAGAAATCACTTATTTATAGTGTATTTTATCCTAAACTGCTTCCAGTGTTAAACTAATCATTTTCAGTCACTGTTTAGTTATTTAGTTTGATTTGTTTGACTGTATGAAAGGTAAAATATGATAATAATACCATGTCTTATTATTTATACTTCCCATAACATCTCTTCTACCCTCCAGCTGTAAGTACGCACATTACCCATCAGCATCGGAATTCAATCATCTCCCCCCCCCCTAAAAGTGAGTCATTTTATTAAGTTATCATACTCGTGGACACAAACACCCATTTATCTCCATTTTTGACGTTTTCCAGTTTGTGACATAATCTGAAAATGCCTGGTACCCTTTACATTGTGCGTAAATTTCTTGGTTAAAGGACCGAAAGAAACGGCCCAGAATGACGTGGAAAAATGTCTGGTTCCATTGACTTACATTAAAAGTAAAGTAGGTTTTCTTCTTCTCCTGTAAACTTGCCATTTTGGACATACAATCTTACATATATTTATATATGTTAATATAACTTTTAAAACAAGGGTCTATAGAAAGTGTAATGATCTCATTAGTGGCTGATTGCATTATGAACAGACGACAGCATCCACACATACACGGCATCCATAGCCTTTTCTCTTAGCCGATTCTTTATTGCATCTTACAGATGTTTTATGCATTTTTTAAATTTATTCTTATCAGCTTCATCTGCCCTTCTCACACTCCATACTGAGACGGTGATTGTGTTGATAGACTTGTTTGATAAGCTGTGATGTTAACTCATTTTACAGCTGTGACTCAAGCTAACCATCCTAATGACAGTAACAGTTCACCAGAACTAAACAGTGAGTCACTAAATCTCCCTCTCTAATATTTATAAACTACATTTAATACATTTTTGATTTGAGTTTTACTTTTCTGGATCTTTCTCAGTTTCCACAGTCATGAGAATAACAACAGATAGTTCATCAGAAACACATCCCACCGCAGGTAAATAACTGAATAACCTATACATAAAATACCACGCAAAGATAAATAATGTAATTTATATTGCATTTCTGAATTTAATTACAACCCCCTTTCCGAAAAATGTTGGGACGCTGTGCAGAATGTAAATAAAAATAGGATGCAATGATATGCAGATCATGTAAACTCTATTTTTAAAGGAAAATATTACAAAGACAACATATCAAATGTTTAAATTGAGAACTTTTATTTTTTGTTGAAAAATATATGCCCATTTTGAATTTGATGCCAACAACATGTTTGATGCCAACAACAAATGTTATCAGTGTTGACAGGTCTGGACTGCAGGCAGGTCAGTTTAGCACCCAGACTCTTTTAATACAGAGCCATGCTGTTGTAATACGTGCAGAATGTGGTTTGGCATTGTCTTGCTGAAATAATCAATAATCATATCAGCATATGTTGCCAAAACATGTATATATTGTTCAGCATTAATGGTGCCTTCACAGATGTGCACGTCACCCATGCCATGGGTGCTAATGTCCATGATGTCCAGAAAGAATTTCAAATGTTGATTTGTCGGGCCACAGGACACTTCCCCCTCAGTCCATTTTAAATTAGCTTGGGCCCAGAGAAGGTGGCAGCATTTCTGGATCCTGTTTATATATGGTTTTCATAGACAGTGTTTTTCCAGAAGTGTGAGCCCATGCGTTGAATTTTGTTGTATTTACATTTTTCACAGCGTCCTAACTTTTTCAGAATGGGGTTGTACAATTGACATTTGAAAATAACTGGGAATGTCTAGATTTGTTTAGTAAATTAATTCATTCACTTTTCTCCTCTAGCTGCAAAGACAGAAAGTCACCGGCCAAAAAGTGAGTCATCTTACCAGCCATTAAAATCACTCTCAATTAAACTAATTTAACACATTAATTGTATTTAATTTACCTCATTTATCTTTGTCCACATATATGCCATCCCTCAAACCCCATATTTGACCTGTGTAAGGACTCTTGAGGTGATGGTGTGATGACATTTACTGTTTATCAAATTTATTGAATTTTCCACTGACCCCAGATCAGCCAAGACGTGCTTGGTGTCCAAGTTTTGCTTTGTTAGTTTGGACTGGAGCTACGAGGATAACATTGCTGTCAAACACTAGAAGCCTGAGTGCACACATTATGCATCATTTAGACACTAGACTGTGTTGTTCATTTCTGTTGTTTCTATTTATAAATATATATTTTAAGTTTGATATTTAACAATAATAGTTATTGGTTAATCATGTAGTTCCACAATGATGTTTTCTTCATTTTTATAGCTCTCAGTAAGTCATACTGTACCCTATATCAATAAGTCGACCTTAACAAAGAGCTGGATGCAGTTTGAGCCGGTTGAGGGAAGTTCTAGGAACGTGTTTACAGAAACGATTTGGGTGACTATTGACTTCTTTAAAGTTTTTCATTTGAAACATTAGCATCGTAGCTTCAGCAATAAACTAATGAAGCTAAATTTGGACATTGAACATGCCTTGGCTGACTACGCCCAGGGTCAGTGGAAAATTATGTAAATTACATTTTTTGCCAAAACATTTCTTTTATTATTAATCAATGAGTTAATTCTGAAACTTCAGCTCTACAGTGGTTCAAATCAGATTTCATGCTGCTTTGACTTCTTCCTAGTGGTGCTTTTATTTATTTGCTGCTTTTTTTTTTCTACATTTCATTTTGAATTATTTTTCTATTATTACTCAGATTCACTGCTCATCATTCTAGTGTCAGTCACTGGTACCAGCGTCTTACTGGCTGGAGTGATGATCATCTTCTTTCTCGGCAGGTTTATCAGTAAGTCCATCAGCTGAGCTGCTCTTGTACAGTGAAGACAAAGTTTCCATTGTTTGGTTTCACAGCTGTAAAACGTACTGTGTGCAGTGAACTGTGTGGTATTGTGGTGATTATTAAGCTGAAAGCTCAATTCTTCCATTACAGAGAAGCAGAGGACTGACAGGTGAGACGCTGACCAATGAACTGTGCATATAAGTATAAAATCCATATTTTCGTGTCATTTCAGATTCATAATAATGTCACTATATGATGCATAAAGTTTTGATATATGCATTTATTCTTAATAGACTTAAAGTCAACTCAGCCAGAAGAGATCAGGGTATGTTTCATGACTGGAATATGAATCTATAATTACTGACAGAAACACTAAAACTAGATCATTTCTAATGAGCCACATTCAGCTGAAATGACTGTTTTGCAGGAGACAGGATGGCCGTGCTGAGTGCGGAGGAAGTGAGTGATATTTCTGTTATAAGATTGATCGAGATGTCAATGTTGTTCTTTTGAATCAATTAATCTTTTAGATTTGCTTCATAAACGTTATAAGAGTATTTTCTGCTATTCAGTTCGGTCCAGGAGCTGCTGGATCCTACTCAGTGTTTACCTCAGTGACCGCACCTTACCAGCCTTCAGGTAATTCACACAGAACAACAGGTCACTTACACAATGGCCTCAATTTTCAGTCGAGGGTTTCACCTCAGAATTATCTCTTTCATTTTGGGGTAGGTAGTTTTTGGGGTATGACAAGGAGGGGTTCACAAAGAACACAAACAAACAATATGACCTACTTTCAATACAGTGCTTTCTTTGAGTTCCTGTAAACCTCAAGAGAGAAATAAAATCAGAGATCACTTCAGATGAATTGTGACCACAGATATTCAAGTTGCAAAAACTGACGCATGAGCCCACTTGTTAATTTCATGAGAATCATTCTAGGCGCTGTGCAGATGAACTGAGGCATCAACCTTATCAGCATTTTGATCAGCATTTTCACAAGTCAGATATCATCTGGCTGTGCGTCTCACTGTTGACAAGCCACGATAGCCCCAGACCTGTCAGTCAGCTGTGCTAGCTGTTTGGATTTGTACAGGTAAAAGGCTCTGTCACTCAAATCCTAGAGGTCAGGGTACTCTGCAGCTGTCAGTGGAGGCCAGCCTTCTTTGGATTTGATTGCTCAGCACAAAAAATGCTTACCGTTGCTGTTGTGACAAAATCTCCAAAAAGGTAACTTTAACGGAAAAGAAAAATATGATCTTAAATTTGAATGAAATTAAATTCAGCAGGCTATGTTTCTAAGTAATTTTGGAGCACTTCTATTCCTGCATCATGAAATTTCAACACAATATAAACAGCATTTAGCATTTTTAAATTACTTGACCACTTTTATATTTATTTTCATCTCAGTGCACCTGCAGCGCTCACAGAGCACATAAAATACAAGCCGATCAGCGTGAAAAAGCAATGAGCAAATATAGTCAATTTTTTTTTGTTTACGGTTTAGACGTTATTGACAAAATGGTAAAATGTTTCATTTTCTTGTGAGAGTTCATCATAAGAACATCAGTGTCGATTACTGTAAGTAAAGATTGTCTTCTATCAGTCTAACAGCTTTGATACTCACCAGTGGACATTTACAGTTATTGTTGGTTAGTGTGTTTTTTGCTTCATGATAAATTGTAAGAAGTGCAAAGTCATTTAAAAGAGAAGTGTTTTTCTGCCTTTGCAGGAAGTACTATAACCATTCATAGTGGCAAAAGGCAATGATGTGCAAATAATTTTAACCAATATTTAACTGAAATAGTACAAACAGAACATATAAAATGTTGAAAAATATATGCACATTTTGAATTTGATGCCAACAACACATTCCAAAACAGTTGGGTCGGAGCAACAAAAGGTAAAAATGTGTAATGCTAAAAGGTAAAAATGGTAAAAATGTGTAATGCTTAAAAAAAAACCAAAAAAAAACCAAAAAAAAACACCTGATGGTTGATTGGCAACAGGACAGTAACATGACTGGGTATAAAAAAGCATCTGAGTCTTTCAGAAGTAAAGATGAGGAGGGGTTCACCACTCTGTGAAAGACTGCATGATCAACCACTGCAACAATTCAAGAATAACGTTTCTCAACATAAAATAGCAAAGAACTTTTGCTTTTCATCATCTACAGTACATAATAACATTAAAAGATTCACAGAATCTGGAAAAATCTCTGTATGTAAGGGACAAGGCCAAAAACCAGTATTTGCTGGCCGTGATCTTTGGACCCTCAGACGGCACTGCATTAAAAACAGACATGATTCTGGAGAGGAAATCATTGCATGGGCTCAGAAACACTTCTGAAAACCACTGTCTGTGAACACAGTTCATCACTGCATCCACAAATGCAAGTTAAAACTCTAAAACGCAAAGAAGAAACCACATATAAACAGGATCCAGAAACACTGGCGCCTTCTCTGGGCCCAAGCTCATTTAAAATGGACTGAGAGGAAGTGGAAAAGTGTCCTGTGGTCCGATGAATCAACATTTGAAATTCTTTTTGGAAGTCATGGACACTGTGTCCTCCGGGCTAAAGACCACTCAGCTTGTTATCAGTGCACAGTTCAGACGAGGTGGGAGCCAGGTCGCTGGTACCTGTAAAGAGGAAAATATAATGTTAAATATAACTAGCCTAGCAGTATCATTTCTAAGTTAAATGTGCACATGTATATATGAAGAAAATGGCCATTGTATGTATATAGGAGATTTATGTGTGTATTGTTTGTTCTGTTGTCACCCCTAGGCTGTAAATAATGGTATGACCCAGAGCTAATGTGGGAGGGGCTACCAGGTTAAGAGGGAAGGGGGACAATGGAGGAGAGAGGGACGTTTGGGGGAAAGTCTGTGCGGCTTTGCGGCCTCAGACCCAATACAGCAGAACTGCTTTAGTTCTGTGTGAGACAAATGGCTGCTGGATGCTGACTGCGGAGTCAGTGGAGTCAATAGCGGAGTCAGTGGAGTCATTTGGTCACAGCTGTGTTTTCTCTCGCAAGTGCAAAACCACAATGAACTTCAGAGCACAGTATGTTGAATGGGGAGCCTCCAGACCACTTATTGACCACAACACCATCAAAGCACTTATCACACACCATTAATGCTGAATGATATATACATGTTTTGGCAACACACTTTCAAAACTACAGCAGTGTCTCCTCAGTTCCCAAGTTAACGCTTACAGAGTGCTGTTAAAAGAAGAGGTGATGCAGCGCAGTGGTAAACAGGCCCCTGTCCCAGCTTTTTTGGAATGTGTTGTTAGCATCGAATTCAAAATGGGCATATATTTTTCAAAAACAATAAAATTTCTTTGTTTCAACAGTCGATATGTTGTCTTTGTAGTATTTTTCTTTAAATATATGGTTTACTTGATTTGCACATCATTGCATTATATTAACATTATGCACAGCATCCCAACTTTTTTTGGAAAAGGGTTATAAGTTTTGACCTGTGAGAAGGACTTTTTTTGTTGTTGTTCATTTATATCACATACTGTACTTGATTAAACTGGATTGTGAGAGAGTACAAGTAAACCTAAGATACTTCTCCAAAAATCTCTCTAAGTTAAAAATTAAAACTTAAAATTTAATAATTATTTTAATTATTAACATTTATACTTCAGTTTTAAAATGCTGTGTTTCTATAGCCTTGAAAGTTAACACAAAGTTCCATGGTTCTCATCCAGTCTGACCCACAAGCTTATTCAGAAATCACTTCAATCGCAGCCCCACCTGAATCCTCAGGTATAACCATCTGTAAAAGATAAATGTGTTAAAAACCTTCCAGAAATGTTGTAGTTTTCATATACAGCACTTACATGTCAAACCAATTAACAGGCCAAGACGTTTTCATTAACAATCGATATTAATCCATCCTATCCTTTCTCAGCACAACAACTTTGTACCGTCACAGTCAAAATCTTGATTCTCCATCATTGAACTCCATTACTTTGTCATTTGAAAACAACAGCTGCCTTTTAAAAAGTGTTTTTTTTTATTTAATGTTGAATAAGTAGAATAAACATGAACGAACAGAAATTGTAAAACATTCAAATTACTTGGAACAACATCTTAAAAGAAAAAAACTATTAAATATTTAACAAGTAAAATGATCTGAATTTCAGGTCCCAGTAAAAAGAGAAAAGAAAACTCTGAGGAGACTGAGGTGAGTAAACTTGCTATGAGTTACTGTGTTGACTGTTTCTGTCTCGGCTGCAGCTGCACTGCTCATTCAGTGCCTCAGGAAGACAAAGCAAGTTTTAATTTGTGATCTCTTTCTTCTGGTCTAGTTAGAACAGGATTCACTGTTTCTACACAGGACAACTCCTAAATTAAAGAGCGAGATTCACTAGTAACTTAGTGTGTCCAGAAGACTTTGCTTTTCTTTCACTGCTGACCCCTGACCTCCTTCTGTTTTCTTTCACATTTTCAGAGTGATGTGTATCACACATACTGCACCATCCCTGACATCACTGTGGCCTCCAAACAGACAGACTCAGTCTACAGCCTGATACAGATGTAATGATACTTTTACTCACCGTCTCATTTCACATTGCAGAATCAAATCCAGAATCAACCGTTTGTTATTAAGTTAAATATGTTATTAGTTAGAGTTTGTGAAATACATGCTTTAATATATTAAGATCTATTATTTTGCACTTGAAAAAAAAAATGTTGGCGTGTCTTATCCAGAACTTCTTTTGCTTTGCTGTTAGTGATTCTGGAAAAGAATAAAACATCCATTACAACACAATACAGTTTACATTCTGTCTGCATTATTCTTTATTTTTTTTATTTAAAAAAGATGGAAATTTGGAGGTAACTGGACCATTTAAACTGAGAATTTGAGCTCAGAATTTCAGATTCAGATTTCCGTGAGCCCCATGTACGCAGGTCCTCCAATAGCAACCACATTCACACGCATATTGGAAACTTACTGACACGTATCCTGTGACACTTGGCGTTTTTTCTATTGCTGTCTGATGGGTTTGTGCTATACCTCTGACTTTCAATTCTCCATATTCTGTTCCTCTGTCACCAGCCAGACCCTGTACTTAACCACCTACTTTTAATGTACTGATTGTATGTATGTCATATGACCTTTGCCAATGAATGAAACACATCCTATTCATCAGTTATATTTTAGTAGGTTACAGCTTTTCCATAGAGGTTGGTTTTCACTCTTCATACACACATTCTGTGTTGCACAGAGCACTTTTAGACCATTTATGAAGAAAAGAACATCATTATAGCCTTCATTCCACTCCAAATTAGAAATGCCTACCCCAACTCTGCTCTCTGTACAACCTGAAATTATTAGTGAAAGAATTTAGAAATCTGTGACATATTTTCCCTCATTTCAGGCACTTAATATGTTTTAATTAAATTCTATCTTATAAAAAAAATGAAAAGCGGACAAATGAGAAGGCAGAGAAATGAGAATGAAAACTTTTCTCTGTTGCTCCTGTTTAACTATAAAGAATGACGCTGATGGGTTTTGAATGAGTGAAGGTCTCCTTGCAAAAAGCAGTGACTTAATGAGCACACTGGCTTTGCATACCCAACTCCACTCGTCCACATGGTGTGGGTTTCTTGGCTTAGT